AATAATAAATACATGTAACTATTATTATTATTATTATTATAAGTATCGACAACAATAATCAGCATTCACTAATCTACTACTATACAAAAGGCCCAGTGCGCGAGCGAATCAGTCTATTGGTCGACCGGTACCAAAGTTGTGCAGACAATACAATTGCCGATGGATTGCACGCCAAGGTCGACCAGTCGAGAATGTCAATTCCACACGGACGAGCGATGGCAGTGAAGGAGACTTCTCTCTGCAGCCGCGCCGGAGTACGATTAAAAATTCACATCTTACCTCTCTTCACCGCTCTACTACTTAACTCAACGACAAAAAAAATAAATAAAATAAAAATAACTCTCACACACAAAACACATTGTGCGTATAGTACATTATACAGTTTGGCCTCCAGAGAACTTCAAATAAACACAAGCGAACATAGAAATGGTGCCGTTTACCCGTTCACTAGATGTAATATATTATATCCTTTTTTACATTTCGAATTTTTTGGCGGGACTCATTGTGTTTGGACTCGGTGTGACACACAATTATTTGGTAATTTGTTTTTTTAACCGCAAAGAAACCCGACACTTTGACACACAAGTTGACCTCACTCATTTTTCTTCGTCGTTTACACCTCTTCCGGCTCCACAATCACCTATATTATACGCATAATATTCATAATTCATAATCTAAGTATTTGTGCACGCGGTTCGATAAATTATATTGAGTAAGGTTTAAAAATATATATAAATCACAGTGAATAGAATTTCAATCATTAATTTATAATAAATAAATGGAATCAATTATAACGAAATCACAAGTAAACACAACAAATCGATCAATATAACAAATATATCTTGTGTTTGCAGAAGATTTCTATAGGTAAAATTAAGAGCTTGATTAAAGATAAAAATTACTATTAAGCGTAAAATGAGATACGTGGTCTGTTATAGGTGTTAATATAAATACTATGTTTAAAATATGTTAACATTTTTAACATGATACGTTGAAAACAACATATTTCTAATAAACCTATATTATGTAAACAATATTAATATTAATTTATTTACAAAATCAAATTAACTGTAATCCAATTAAAAGTTATAATTGGAAATATGTTTGGGTATTTTTAATGAAATATATAAAACCCAAGCAAGTAAAATTAACGAGTACCTATACATGTATACGAGGAACTCAAAATTAAGTAATTTTACTTCTGTGGGTGTGAAAAGTGACTGTCCAAGAACAGAAAAGAGTGACTGTTTTCGTGGTTACAATACCTATCCTTCACGGCTAAGTAAAAACAATATTTACCATCTCACATCACTAGTTCTTTATTCAACCTTGAGTAGAAATCTCTCTGCTATCAGATTATTTTAATTAATGTCAAGTTTGTACATCGATCAACAAGCTTTTAAACATATATATATATATATATAAACCAGCTTTTACTCAGTTCGTTTCATTCAAACAAACATAAATAATTAATCTTCAGACAATTCGATAGAGAAAGAAATTTGAAATAAAAAATACAGAAATACTTTACTGGAATTAAATTTCCGTATGCTACAAATTTACTTATGTATATCAATCGTATAAGTAATAAGTATTTACGAATCGTGCTAAGAAAATAAAAAGCTATAAGGATAATTATTGGAAAGGTTGATTCAATCAGTATTAAAAATAAAAAACGGTACCCAACTTAATAATTTATACTCATATTTTTTACAACATATATAAGTAAGGAAAAATATATATTTATAGTTAAATTTTTAACTAAAAATCTTAAAAGTTTTTGAATTAGTTTAAACTGATAATTAAATACTAAAATGTCAAATTAACGTAATTATAATTTATATAAAAAAAATTGTATTGCATTTCAAACAGTACCTATTTACAATAACAATAACAGTTTGATAATTTTGTCAGTTCAAAAATAAACAACGAAAATAATCATAAATATACAAACTTCATATCATAAATTCCTATATTTAGAGTTAAGACTTAAGGCTGATCTCAGAGAAACAAAACCGTCTTTAGTAGTATTTTAAGAGTTTTAAAATATACCATTTTAGAGATTTTATAGTTATAATATAACTATTTTATAGTTATATTTGCATAAACGTAACCATAACTTCTTCTAAAACTGTTGTTAAATAAAAAATGATTACTTTATTCTTTCGAAAACTGTTTCTAACGATAAAAAATATAGATGAAATACGCAATCATACTAAAAATTGATGACGATTTTTTTCGAAATAAGTTAAATATATTTTTATAATTTAAAAATGTTGTTAAGTAATGACAAAATGAAAAAAAAAAATACACTGGCTTTAACTAAAAACAAAAAAAAAAGTTAATTTAATTTAATAAGGGTATCAAAAGAACAATTATACTCTTTAAATTGTTAAATCAGATTCCAGCTTAGATTTCAATCGATTTGATAGACGTAACTGTATTTTATAATATATATTTATACCATCAAAAACAATAATAATAGTAACAAAAATAACTAATGCGACTATAAATAGTATATTTACAACAGGAAATAGTTTTACTCAGCAGTTTAAAATAAGTATATCACAAGTAAAATAATTATTTTATCTGTTTAATAAGTTAATTACTCTTCGTGAGACTAGAGATCTATCATCCAGAATAGTTGATAGCTATTTGTACCAGACAACCACCTACCTGAAAAATTACAAGTCACACAAAATACCTTTTCGTCGTAAAGTACCTTTACGTTACCTTTACCTTTTCGTTAAGATAAAGTAATTATAACAAATTTAAAGCATGCATTAATAAGTTACTACCTTATTTAAAATATAGATTAGAACTATGGTAAAAATAAATTATAATGCACTTGATACTTTCATACACTAAATTAATAAAAAAAGAAAAAATGTTTTACCAAAATTACATATAGCTTGTCAATGATCAACACAGGTCTTATACCTACTATGTCTTTTTTTATTCTATAGTAATTAAAATTTGAAAGGCCAAAAAGGGTTAGAATAGAGCGACAGGTTAATTTCTATGAAAAATACAATGAAAATATACAATGAATGACATAAATCACAATCATAACTATCCTTAAGGGAAAAGTATTGTATTCAGCTAACCTTAGGGATTGTGAAGTAAATAAAATAAAATGTTAAGAAAATTAGATGAATCCGTTCCATACAGAGATAAAGAAAAATATTTCCTTACAATAAGACTAAATTGATTTTTAAATCGTATTTATCCATTCATTTTTGACCTGAAAAGTTGAATCATTCTGGAAAATGAAAATACACCCGAAGTGGAATTTTCTTTTTTTAAACTTTGCCCGTCGTATACATAGCTAATACGTCAAATATGTTTAGAGCATAATTCAGAGCTATAAACAATGTCAAACTGAAATATTTGCGAGATAGTCTTTAATCGTAAAATGAGCATTAAATTAAATTCGATTACTGGAAAACTAAGTCTGAAATTACAGAATTAAATTACATTTAAATTAAAAGCATTCAAAAAAATTAGTGAAAATGTTTAATTTAGATCAGAAATGAGATAAATCTAAATTGAGACTCCCGTGTAATTATAATTGCAAAATAATCGTGATCCTTTACAACTTTCAAAACATAATTAAATCATAAAAAAAAAATGTCACCACGGAAAAAAATACTACCCGTGAGTTATTAATATAAGAGGGGAATTAGAAATGGAGGTTATATGATATTATAAAACTATGACTCATCGGTTTTACTTAATTTTTCTTTCAAGTCTACCCTTATTTCGGAGTATAATTTAATCAAGAATTTAATGTAATGTAATAACAGTAAATTATTATATTATTTTTTAAATCACATTTAGAGTTTAACTTAACGAAGTGACGAAATCTTCTATAACAAAAATTACCTACTTATTATTTTCTAACGGAGACGTAATATTTATGTTCTGGATGAATAATTAAGAAAAAAATATTTAATTGCATTTTCAATGCTGTAGAAAATATTTTAACTATCTTAGTTTTCTTTTGTACAGACTTTTAAAATATAGACATTAACTATTAAAACTATTTAGTAATCACATTTATTGGTAATAAACCATCAATGTCCAATATTATCAATAAATTTATCAAATGTCCAACTCTTAGCAGTTAAGAGCTACATCTTAACTGCTTTTTTAAAGTTCCAATGACATCTTAAAGTTTTGATGTATTATTATTAAATATTAAAAATAGTATCCAAATATTTTAAATAAGAAGAACTCAAAATAAAATAATATCTAAGACTTGAATAATCGAATACACCATAAAACTGATAATTGATTATAATTAATATTTTTCAGCATTATAAACACAACTAAAAGTAACTTCAAGAGCTAAACCCTCTTTTATCAAATACTAATTTTTCCTAAGGAAATTAATAAACTAATGAAATCAAGAGATTAATATTTCCAGATAATAATTTTGTGGGGCTTTGCCTCCAAATTTAAGAAATTACGCCACAAATAATTTACCAGAATTCGCATTATTTTACAATACTTTGCTCATATCTGAAAGAGAAATGTAATGTCAATCGGCAAAATATGCGCGAAGACCGAAGCGAAAACTAAAATAGTTCAAATGTCGTACTATTAAAGATACACATAAACACCTGATTAAATTAATTTCACAGAAAACAAAAAAAATTTCGAACCATTAATGATTTCGTCAGAGAGATTTTAACATATAAGAAATCTGATTTCACTCCAAATGACGTTAACGTCACCGTAACCGTTACTCGGTAACTATGGTTACCGATTAAAAAAAAAGTAAACTATTTTACAAATTATATAGTAGAATAGGATTTTAAGGAATTTCACAGAAATCCGGTACTTGACATGTCCATACGAGAAACATAATAACACAGGGCAAGATAAAATAATCGAACATGACCTTTCGTTTTTGTTCACGAAAACATCCAAAGTATTTTATTTGTAAGCAATAATGAAACTAGTCGACAGTGACATTAATTATTTATAAAACCTACATGACGTAGTCGACCGAGGTCGTCCGCGTGATATGGACATCCCAGCTGATCCCAATATCGGTTGGTCCGCAATAGGACCCGACCAACATAGTACCATTCCGCCAGTTCAGAAAAATGAAACATAAAATTCGTGTACACTGACCGTTTTGCAGACCGGTACACGCAGCGCGTAGAATGTCTCTCTCCGTATAAAGGAGAAACTTCTTTGCCGACGTGTGCGCTGTCCCACTTGCCGGTTATTGACACCGGTGCCGCGCGCGTGATACTTATTATTTATTTAATATTATTACTCTTATTATTAATTTTATTGAAATAGTAATTTATTATTAATATTATTGCGACCGTAAGAAAAAAAGCACTCGGATCACTAGCACCCGAAGGCAATCACAACAACACAACCAAGACAAAGAGATAAAAAATGGAAGAAAAAAACCGAAAAATTCGAAATTTCACTGAACCCGCAGTTGAAACGGACCGAAATAATATAAAAATCCGAACTTATATTGACATCTCCTTGATAGCGCAACAACAAAGAATCGGCGGACGGACGAACAAAACGACGGGTATTTTTTGAAAATTTCGCACTGGTACGACGCGGCGAACCCTCTCGCACACGCGCACTGTATAATAATATCACACGCACAGACAAATACGACGCTCGAGCACGCACACACACACACACACACGCGCGCGCGCGCGCACGTACGCACGTACGCAAAACGTACGAAAAACGGGTGCAGGGGTGAAACACACGGTAATTTTTATTTTTACTATTTATACTTCAGATGGGGAAAAATAAAAATAAAAAATATAGACGGACTGCACAGATATACCTGTTCGGGGATGCCACGTTACAAAACTGATCGCGCGCGCGGCTACGGCAGTCGACGTCCGTCGTGCACACGCAGGTAGGACACGAGCGGCGGTGAGAGAACAACGTTCACGTACGCACACACGTTAGAACGATCGCGCTCGGCCGTACACGCGAACCGTCGGGTACATACACACAAGCGCGCAGAGACGTTCCCACAAACGGACGAACACGTTCGCACGCACCGCACGCGTACACCTGGTGGGAGGTGAAGTCGCTCCCTCCCCCACGCCGACCGGTGAACGCGTTCCGGTCAGAAACGTCGCACAGCCCGGCAACGTCGCTTAACCGGTTCGGCCCGCGTTTTCTACCCGTGTCCCCTTCGCACGCCTGCCGATCATCGAGAGCACGCACGGTCTGCGCACGCAACTCTGACTCTTCGCCACCGCGCTCATCGTGTATCATTTACGTCGGTGCGGTGTTTATGACCACGTCGCCACCGTTGTAGGTCACCCCGATCCGCGCGAGCAATTCGACTATCTCTCTCTGTTATTATAATTATTATTATTATTTATTATGATAGCGAACTTGTAGTGCGCGGCATATTAAAGCGTAGCGCGGGTTTTTTTAATATTTTTGATTTCCCTGTTTTCGAGGAGGCGGCGCAATTTGTTGTGTTTTCGTGTCAGGGAAACCGGTATGCCGCCGCAGCTACCATCCGCCGCTGAGGGCCGAGGTCAAGATCGTACTACGGCGTTGGTACCACGTTTCCCTCCAAAAACATTGCACGGGTGTACACGAAGGAAAAATTAAACGTTCGCGACCTCAAACCTTGTCGGCTCATTGTTTTCGAGATGACCGTCCGAAAATTAGATTTTGCGTCGTTCCACAGATAGTTTTATGTACGTACACGCTGTTTTTCCGTCCGACATTTTTTTCAAGACGTTATATACGACCTAAAAATAAATTCACATTGTACATCCTATATATTTATATGTAGATTATTTACATAAATATAATACCCATTATAGTATAGAATACCGTAGTACTAGTGTCCACAATAATAAATCTGATTTTTGGTTACTTGGTTATTTAGGAATGAGCTTATAATCTATAGCAGTGGTTCCCAACCGGGGGAGAATTCCCCCCAAAGAGGAATTTAGAATTGTCTCGAAGAAGGAATATAGTGATGACAAAATTACGAAAATAATTATGTTATTTTACATTTACTATGTGTAAAATTGAAGTCACTATATATTTTCAGATTATTCGGCATCGATAACAATTCTATTTTATAATGATAGCAAATAGACCTTTTCACATTTAATTAAATACAAAGTTCGATTCTTACGACATAAAATCGCCTCTATTCTAATTTAAGGGGGGAATTTTTTTTGAAAATTTACCAGGGGTATAGGATGAAAAAGGTTGGGAACAACTGAGCTGTAGTTATAATATTCTAATTTATGTGTGTGTGAGTATTTATGTGGGCTTGTTTGTTTACATTTTTAAGTAACTAAGTTTATTGAAATATCGATTTCGGTGTTATTTTTTTGTCTAAAATTTCATAAAGAATAATAAAAAAATACATCCAATAATTAAAAATTTAATTGGTACTACTAATTATCTTACTAAACAGATGGGTACTTCAATGAATGCTTACATAAATAATAAACATTAAAGTCTCTTACAAAAGTGTTCCTATAGAGAATTTAAATTTGAACTCAAGGAGTTATTAAAGGAAAGATTAATGTTTAAAAACTGAAAACTATGCACATCATTCCAATATTTTCCCAACTTAGATCTATTATCTACCATAGCTTGCGCTAAGAAAATTTTAGAAATTATTTTAAAAAACGATTTTTTTTTAAATTCAATAAATTTATTTTCGATCATTTTCAAATAGAAATTTCACAATGTAACCCGTGCACTTAAAAGAACGTACTGATCAAATTAATGTGTACCTACAGCGTGTACCTCAATCTATAATCTTTTCAGAAGTCAATAAAATATTTGAAAACAAATTCAATATGTATGACATATATATTATATACCAACTACGTATAACAAAATAACAATATTAAATGAATATTAATATTATTCATACTTCTATATTTAGTGACCGGCTCTAAGATAATTGTTTACCAAAGTGGCCCGCAGAGGAAATTAGGTTGGGCATTACTGCTCTAGCTGAAAGATGAAAATCGAACATAAAAGTATAAAATGGAGAATAACTAGTAAATGAAAAAGGGATATAGAGATCTTTGGTTATTGCGTCTTGTGCGAAAATGGACCTAAACATAGAGAGCTAATATAATAATAATAAGAAAGATATTGCTTTTGTTATTTATGTTTTTTTTCAATAAACGATACTTTTAAAGTAACAGTCTAAAAAGTAATATTAAAACTATTAAATAAAATATAATATATGTATGTAAAATATACACAAAATACTGAATATTTAAATATATATATATTCAATATTTTATATCTAACTACACTGATTACATAAACATCCGGCCAACAGTAAACAAAAAATTAATTAATCTAATATAATAAAAATATAAGTGTTAATTATTTTTTCGATTTTAAATATAAGTATGACAGGGTATTACAATCATACGATTCAGATAAATATATACCTACCAATATATACATAGAAACTATTATAGCAAGTATATATTATGTTTTACTTCTATATAAAACTAATAATTACATATTATATACTTTAATTAAGTATATGGAATTAAAAACGTTGTATCTATATGAACGAGAAAAAAAATAATTACTAAACAGATTTAACTACTATATTAACTAAACTAATTTACTAAACAGAATAAATTCCTATTTTCTAATTTACAATTTAAATAATTATCCAGATGCTGTCAAAACAGCTTAGATACAAAATGATCTACAACATTAAGAACAGTCGTGATTAAGCCTTATTTATTAATAAAATATTGAACAATAAGCGGATGCACTTCAGTGAACTTAAGTATAACAATACACACGTAATACTTAAGGTTATGAATAGTATCTGCTATCAAAGATAATACCTATGACTTATGATAACGATAATAAAGAAAGTGATATAAAATAATTCGATGAGTACTACATCGAAATTTAACAAAAGTCATCATTATTACTTAAATACTATCGGCACTATACTCTGTCCAGCAAGAGTTTAGGAATACGCAGGCCGCAGAATGCATTACTCATATTATTATTAAAACATTGTAAAACATCGATAAAAAAAGAATTGTCATAAATATTACTACGTCACAAACAATTTCGGATGGGACGCCATAAAAAACCAATGAAGTCGAGAAAAAAAAATAATACTAGCTGCGCTATTTGATGGGGTGAAAATCTCAGAAAGACCGTACGCTTAATTTATATGAGCCGTGTTACTGTATTTTAGATAATAATGGCTCATAAATTATGTAGTAAACGCAGGTCACTACATTTTTAGACGGCAATCCGTATCATTATTACCATAGTCTGTACCGTGAATTGGGAGTATAATTTTTTCCTCCAAACTGTGCTGTTTGTATTTTATCCATAGAATATAAAATAAAAATCAGCTGAGATACCGATAAACTTGACATTTATAGAAGATATAATGCCCACAATTTAGAATTTCTAACTCTGAAATAAACTTATACGTCAAATTAATTCTAAAATATCTTAAGACGTTCAATAGAAACCCCGTGTAATACTTTTTCTAATTAAAACTGAATTATAGGTAAGTATATCATTAAATTTCATATCATTCGTTTAATACATCTAATGTTTTTTATGAAAAACCGATATAATAGAATAATATACATAAATATACATAATACATATAAGATAACATATAATATATTTATTGAATTTTGTTTTTGTGAAATTTGGAAAAAGTTAGCAACTAAATGTAAAAAAAAACGGCTATCCAATACTTAATCTGAACTCCATGCAGTGCTGTCGTAAGCCATAAGATTGAAGGGCTCTAAATTTACAAAAAATACAAATAATTTCTTTCGGTTTCTAGCACCTATAAGTCTTAAAGCATCGAAAAATACATACTTAACTAGCTGACTTGACACGGCGTTGCCCGTGTTTATTTTTTAGCATTTTCATAGGCCGTGTGTCAGTATTTAATTTGTGTTAATATTACGTGAAATTCACAATTTGTGATTGTATGTGTAATTTTTATAGCACTATTAGATTCATTGTTAATATATATTTATAGTCTGTGAATATTATTTTATTATTATTAAAGCATCTCCTTATAGACTACATTGATTGTTTTTCCGTTTGGTATAAGAATGATTAAGCTACTAAGCTTATAGGTGAACTAATTCTGGAGCGTGCCACATAAAATTGCCCATGTGTAAAGCAGTCATCACTCAAGTCAATTCCTGCTATCATTAAATGTATATATATATTAGCTATATAAAATGTAAACAAACTTTTAAAAAAAACCTTTTATCCCCTTAGAGATCGAATTTTGAAAAATACTTTCTTAGTACGTACCTACATTGCTTAAAGAACCTCTGCACAAAATTTCAAGTTTCTAAACCCAGTGGTTTACTTTGGGCATCTATGAGTGAATAGGAACAGTCTCCTATATGTAAATAGATAAACTAAATACGTAATCCCGCATAATACGCTCTCTTTTCTGACCACTCGTACCTTTTAATATGGAAAAAATCTCAATTATACGCCGATAAAAATTTCAATGATCTTATACATTTATCTAATCTTCGTTTTACACAAATATCTATGTACTGTACAAATATATATAATATACGAGTATATTACAAATTACTATTTACGTATGTGTTCTGGCATAGCGCACTCCTCAACAGATTACCTATTAAATATTTAAATATTATTGGTTGATAATGATAATTAACAGTATTACTTTTAAAAATATGGCGAAATATTTTACGTTAAGAAAATATTAATATAAAGAAAAAAATTAATTAAATTATATTTGTGTAATAACTATTTGTAAATGTGTAAACATCAATATTATATATTTATATAACAAAAAAAAAACATAAATTTGTATAATATACTAATTTGTGTTTTTTTTTTTATATTTGTAAGTGATGTATTTGTTTTATAATGTAATACATAACATAGCATCACCATGAACTATTATATTAATTTATTCTGTCCTGCATCCCATTTAAAACACTTTAAAAGAGTATCAGGTGG